AGGCAGGAGTGCAGTGGCACAACCTCCACTCACTGTAGCCTCAACCTTCCAGGCTCAAGTTATCCTCCAACCTTAGCACTCCAAGTAACAGTAGTTCCTACTAGTAGTAATCCCTACAGGACTACAGGTATATACCATTATACCTAGCTAATATATATATATATATATATATATATTTTGTAGAGACAAAGGTTTCACTATGTTGCCCAGGCTGGTCCCAAGCTCCTGGGCTCAAATTATCTTTACACCTCAGCCTCCTAAAGTGCTGGGATTATAGGTGTGAGCCACTGTGCCTGGCCAAAACAATTTTTATTTATTTTGTTTTTATTTATTTTAGAGATGAGGTCTTGCTGTGTTGCCAAGACTGGAGTGCAGTGGCCATTCACAGGCATGATCATGATGCTCTACTGCCTCCAACTTTTGGTTTCAAGGGCTCCTCCTGCCTCAGCCTCCCAAGTGGCTGGGACTACAGATGTGCTCCACTTTACCCAGCCTTAGCTTTTAAAAATTAGGTATTATTTATTTATTTGTCAATTTTGAGACATAAATAAATATGCTCTGTGGATGGTAGTCTCGGGCCTGTTGTGTTAACCCTTTTCTGTACATTATTTGTACTAAATATAATCCTTTGAAGTGAGGCTGTTGGGAAATAGGGGTGTGTGGGTATGTGAATGAGGGGGATATGAAGAGGGTGGGACTTTGTGCCCCACCTTCTCACTTTTCTCTTTAGTAAATTGAGGATTTGATGGAAGATTTTATATGAAAAAAAGTACAGCTATTAAAATAAAGCTGTAAAACCACTTGGAAAACCACTCCTTTAAACAGTTAGATGAATTTCAAGCCAAAGATTGATAAAATCACATTTGGATTTTAGTAAGATCAGCCTTGGAGTTGGCAGAAGATATTTTACAGATCGAGGTGGTGGTAAATTTGGCACAATGGTGATAATCAGAGTCATAAATCAATACATGGAGGCTATACATTGATTTGACTTAACATAGTGGGGCATGTTGAAGGGAGTAGCCTACAGGTCAAAGCTGGATTAAAAGATTTTCTGATTTGCAATTGGTTAAGGAAAGAAAGCTTTTTTTTTTTTTTTTTTTTT